GAATGGGTTAAGTAAGCTTAATTCCTGTATTTTGGCACCCGAATCCAAGGGGTTAAGTGATGCCGTTACCTACAGATTAACTAACTTCCACCCAACAGTGCTGTAATGCAGTCCTATTCTGGTGAATTACAAATACAAAATTATATAAAGTGACAATAGGCAGAAAAGTAACAAAGAATCTATGGCCTGCTAAATAAAATGTTAAATAGAAATTTATAATTATCAGTAATTCATTTACCTATTTCTCTGTTGAATGACAAGATATTCATGTAAACTGTTAAACTTTACACAAAAAAACAAAGGAGATCAATTTCTACCGCTAAATAAGATATCTAAATAAGACACTGCAAAACAAACTGCAATAACTGCAGTTCACCAAAAAAGGAAGTAGAACCATGCTATTCTACATTGTTTTTGATAATTTTTTAGTTTCACACAGCCATCCAAATCTTCCATTTTTCATTCCTTCTTTCAATTATCCTTACTGTAACATGCATGAATCTCTTGTTATTTTCCATCGCAAATGATATAAATAAAAGTACTGGTAATGTTCATGATGTGGCCTTGCCCCTCTGAGATTAAGCCCTTTTACTCCTACCATTCCTGGTAAATCGACAGACATTCGTGTATGAACCAAAATCCTTCCTAACCCAAGGACTTCACCCCTAGACACCCTCCGATAACTGTATTTCCCTATTTAGGAAAGTTACAGCCTGCATAGCATGTGCTGTGACCTGTTTTCTTAATTAATTCATGTATTGTGTGAGTATTTTCTCCTCGATTATTACAGTGCCATTCATTTTTCTGTAAATGTATACCAAAGCATTATATGTATTACAACTTGCTAAGGTAATACCATAGATGAAAAGTGACTCGTTTTAAACCATACTGACCATTAAAGGTAAATTTTACCTTGCACTGCATGGCTATGGGAAACCAATACTATACCTCTTTTTCTTACCTTCAATAAGATAACCCTGACTCTCAGCTAACAAAAAAGGAAAGGAATGATATTGGTCAATATAACCGCAACAAAGACCACGCTGCTTCTGATGTTGCTCTGGAAACGTCCAAGAAAGCGTCGCGTTTCCATGGCAACGGCTTTTGTTTACGTCGGTTAGAGTTCTATGTTTAGCCTCGCAAGCATCGCCAGTAAATCAATACGTATTAATATTGATGATAATAATGATAACGATAATGATACTATTTATGATGGTCATGACGGTAGTTGAGAGGTTCAGATCTGAGAGGAGAGACTGAGAGCTTGATAATAGCTGCGCCAGTTAGATATAATCAACACAATTAACTAAATGATAATGATAATGATACTAATTATGATGATGATGACGGTAGTTGAGAGGTTCAGATCTGAAAGGAGAGACTGAGAGCTTGATAATAGCTGCGCCAGTTAAATATAATCAATACAATTAACGATGATGTAGAGTAGGGGTTCTCAGCCTGGGGGCCATAAGGTACTTCCTGAATTAAACTGAACTTTATCTCACCTACAGTACCTGCATATAATTATCTCTCATATATCAATAAACTTGAATCTTTCTATAAAGTGTTCTTGTCCTATAGCTACGGACATCACACTATTCATAACTAGTGATAAATGAATCTGAAGGCTCTGGTTTAGCTTCGATTCTGTAGTTAATAAACGGAGGAAAAATTGATGATGATAATTGTTATACAATAATTATAAAATTATTATAAGCATAATGATAATGGGAATAAGAGTAAGAATAATTATTAACGATAATATTAATGACAAGAGTAAAATAGTAATGCATAAATAAAGGGAATGAATAATCCACGGTTGAAAACTATGATGAAGATGCTGTTCATCTCTGCTAGCACGATCTGTTAACTTTGCCCATAATTCCCTTCCTGATTTAATTTGTTGTTTTCTCTCGTAAAGTTGCCGATGGTTAATTCAGGCAACTATTTTTTGTGGACTTGATTTTTTTTCTCTCTGAAAACCTCTGATAACTTTCGGCCCCAGGATTTTCCACCAATCCTGAAAAAAAACACTGATGAATCTAATTTCTTCTCATTTTCATATATGTCATCAAAATGCATATATTCATTAGTATATCATTATCACCAAGGACTTCTGTGAATCTTGGGATCGTCAAGCTGTTAAGTTCTGCCTTTCGCCCCTGCAAGTTGCTCATTCTTAGACATACCTCGAAATAGAGTTGTTGTTATGACATCCAGAGCAAGGCTGACATGTGACTGCCTCTGCTGCATGAATCTGTGCAATGTGACGTGGCTGTGGACAGGTATGATTTTCTAAGTTGATGGGATTGCATGGTTCTTCATGTATATAAAATCATTTCATAGCAAAAGGCATTTAGTTATAGGTAGCTAGAGAAAGGTGCATCCTCTCAACGGAATGATCGACGGTGTAGCAGGTCCATACCCACTAATACGTCTCCTGTGAAATGAACAGTTCATCTTTACGTTATGGATTAACTAAGCTAGGACAAATTGAAAATTATATACTTATAAAGGACTAAAATTTGCAGTCGCTTGTACAATAAATAATCTGCAGATACGAACGAATAAAAGAAAAAAGACTGGGGAAAGCGCCACTCTGCCGAAATCCATTTGGTGTTTCTGAGTTTCAACTGTGTCATGCCGTGCATACCGAGGTGAAGACATTTTTTCTCACTAAGTGTTGGAGGACAGAGACCACCATTAACCCTTCCCTCGGGTAGTACCGAAAGGGCACGCCAAATCACAGCAACTTGAATTGTTGAATAAATTTTGTAACGTGGAGTCCGTCCTGTTACGAATTACCAAATGAACTTAGCTCACGATACAGACACAGTGTACAAGATCAGTTTATGGATTCAAGCCAAATCAGCTTCAGCAATTACTTGGTTAGGAGGATCTGAGATGCTTATGAGTTACCTATGATTGTTCATGCGGTATTCGGATGTATTTATTCCTTTTGATGATGAACTTTTGACAACGGCGGCTTTAATCACGTCGTTGCGCACCAACCGAGTCTCTTTATCTACGATTTCATATGGGTAATCGTTGATTCCCTGCAACAGTCATCTCAACGGCCTGAAAGTAATTCGTGACTGTGCTAGCATGCTAAATAAATGTTCTGGAACACCGATTCCTCAAATAATTGCACTAAGCTTTGAACTGAACAAGCCCCATGACAAATCACCTTGAAATTCAGAGCCAAAGTTCACCATCTGGGCAGACCCATGTCACTTGCCTCTTGCAATCCTTATAAATGCCTCCTCTGCCGCAGGCTGGGCAATCATCTCAGCTGTTGAAAAGTCTCCTGGTTCTGGTTGACTTAAAGTTGTTAATTTGTACTCTCGTGCATCGATGTGGGCTCAATGACTTCAGCGGATGCTATCATTTGTCTTTCTTATCTGGCAGCCTTCAGCTCCTTTCCAATGAAGGACATAAGAGCTAGAATGGATCCCAGCATTTCGAACATCTTTGGCGACTGTACAGCTGGATGAACTGTAGGCTGGCCAGTCCTCACCCTCCTCCAGGAACACTACATTCCTCACCTGGGACTCGGCTGCACTGTTGGGCCGTGAAATCCTATCCTTATTCTTGTTGGGCATCTCGCATTGTGCCTTTCTCACAGGTCTCTTGGTGGTCCTCCTAGCTGGTCCGATTTTTACCAAGACGTGCTGTTGTAGATCGAAGCTCGTGAGGCTACGTGACTTCACCTTAATCCACGTCCTCGTAGCGGGAGAGCAGATCAACACTCTCGCAGCTTGGCACTTTGGATGCTGTGGAGATACACTGATGCAACAAGCACATGTCATACACACGTCCTGCTCGCAGGAGTCGTGTTTCACTCCGTACACCGTCTTCTGAGGAACAAGGCTTCAGGTACGAGTTAGCATTTGGAATTTCAGTTTAATAACAATGACAATATTGATAATAATAGTAATGATGATGATGATGGTGATGATGATGATGATGATGATGATGGCAATGATGATGGCGATGATGATGATGACGACGACGACGATGATGATGATGATGATGATGACGACGATGATGGCGACAATGGCGATGATGATGATGACGATGATGATGATGATGATGACGATGATGACGATGGTGACAATGATAGCGATGATGACGACGATGACGACGATGACGATGATGATGATGATGATGATGATAATGATAATGATGATGATGACGATGGTGACGATGACGACGATGATGATGATGACGACGATGACGATGATGATGATGACGACGATGACGATGATGATGTCGATGGTGACGTTGATAATAGCAATAACAAAAATAACAAATACAACAATAAAGATTATAATGATAATAAATAAAACATGGGGGTACACAGCCTAGCTATATTTTTACCGAACATAAATATCCACTGGAAGACTGAAGATATACTATATTAAAGTACTGAAAATATACTAGGGCTCTGAACATGAATTACAGTGAAAGACAACATAGATTACAAATAAACAATATTAATAATAATAATAATAACAGCTATAAAGAACATTCAATAGGCATGTATATCTAGCATTGTATATTTAAAGAATATCAAGCAAGATATCACGTTACAAAATATTAAAAGAAACATACTGAAAAGAAAACTTCAAACGGGTCACTAAATCCGACGAGCAACTGAAAGTCACGAATATAAAAGAAACGAACTACAAGTAAGGGAATGAACGAAAACAAAACAAAACTAGGACAGTGAGATGTAATACACAATACACTGGCTTTATAACAATCACATGAGCCTCAATAACATCATCATAAATGTACATGAAAGTTCCAGATAGTTAAGTTGCCTTCGTTGCAGAGAAATACACTTTTTTTCCTTCGTGCATTCACTCTTCTTTCTGGGTGTTCAACAACTTAAAAGAAATACTTATATCAAACAATTTAAGTGATAATAAAATCGAGTGATGTTACTAATCGATTGGTTATGACATAATAACTGCTTTATGAAAATAAACTAAAAT